AAATATATAGTATATAAATTATAGAGTGTAATATGTAGAATATATATTCTGTATATATAAAAATATGCATTATATATTAGGAAATACATATGGTGTCTGATTGTTAATTCCACTTTTGATCGTGGGGTTTAGGATGAACTTTATTCATTTTGGTTATTCTTTAGAGAGTGTTAAAGCAGCACGTTAGGCAATTGAGATCTCAGTATCTTAGGAAAGCTTGCAAGTGATGCTAGCTAGTCTTCTTTTGTCTGTCCTGATTTTATTTTTTTTACTAGTTTTTCACTTAGCTCTTAATATTGATGCTTAAGATAGCATATAAATTTTTGTTGTAGCTAGCTAAATTCCATTCTCATCTGAAATGGCAAAAATAGCTCTGCACATGATGTATTTGGAATATGTTTGAGAGTTCATGGAATGTAAAGGAGTGGAGTGATTCTGGGGCAAGTTTGTAAGAGTTTATTTCTAGTCCTTTAGATGTTGAGTTTTAGAGCAGAAAAGGGAATATAGAAATGTCATGTTTTATGGAATTGCAGTGTATCAGTAGACCTTGGTCTTTGATAATAGCTTGGCCTAAATTAAAGTGATACAAGCAAGTCTCTTTTCATGGTGAAAGTGATACAGGTTGCCTAGAGAGGTTGTGGAGTGTCCATCCATGGAGCTCTTCAGAGCATGGCTGGCTGTGATTGTGATCAACCTGATAGGACTTTGAGGTTGGCCCTGGCTTGAGTTGGTGGTTGGACCCTGATGACTTCCTGAGGTACCTGCCAACCTTGAGCTGTTCTATGTTTCTGTATTTCTAACCATTACTTCCTGCTGAAGTCATATGTTATTCCAAGCTCAACTGAAGCATGCTGAGATGGTCTTGATAGTTGTGAAGAGTATGGGAAATGAATTAGCTTGTCTTCTGGAAGTTACTGAGTTGTATCTTCATGTTAGGACAGAAGGGAAAATTCTCTGCTGGCATACTTCCTAATTGCAGGCCTGCCTTCAGTATTGCCACCATCTTACTTAAAATAGGTAGCTACTCGAACCTCTGCCTTTGTTCCTCTTTCATCTTGCTTTCTAAATTAGTGTGCAGGGACAAACTGCAATAGAATTTCTGTTGCTGCTTCCCCTTTTCTTGGTAGCCATGCATCAATTCATCTCTTCATATCTCCACATTTGACAGATGTTCCTGTTCTTTTCCTAGTAAAGAGATACTTCTTCTGAATTTTAAAGAAATAGAGCAGTTGTGTGGTGTAGAATTACTACAATACAGTGAGCCAGCTTTCTCATTTAACGTCTTCAGGAGCTGTCATGAATCTAAACAGTTTTATTGAGCACCTGCTTCTTGCTGTCTCACTAGCAGTACACAGAAAATCCTTTGGAATTTCAAATGAGGAGGAGACAACTGGGACTAGTAACTGCAGTTAGCACAAAGAGGGAGGCAGCAGGGAGTGGAAAGTTGTGGAGGAGCTAAAGATGATATGGAGCCTCCTTAAAGGTCATGGACTCCTTGCTTGCATACCTAGCAAAGCTGGAATGACTTTGGGTTGAGTAGTGTGTGGGTCCTGCTGATCTTGAGCCTCTCTAGGTGTAATGCACAAATGAGAAATCTTTTTGCATATCCCTTACAAGACAGGCAGTATCCTGACTGTGATTGTTTTTTCAGTTGATTAGTTTTCCATGTGCCACCAATCATAAATACCTTACATAAATTAAAGTGTCTGCATACCTTGTTGGCAGGTTCATGTAATTAGTAAACATTAGTGCACTGAGAAGCATTCACTGCACATTTTTAAGCACGTGCAGAACTAATACAACATAATTAAACCAGCTTTTCATGATTATTATTTTCAGCATTTTGCCCACAGGCTATATGAACATATATATTGAAAGGAGTAGTACTTTTTTTTTTCCTCCAGATAACTTAAAACAGGTAATTGTGTTTTAAGATTTACAGTGAGTGTTTACAACTGCTCTTGTGTTGTGTTTTTTTTTGGGTTTTTTTTTTTAATTTATTTTAATTTTTAAAAGTTTTACTTATGAGATAATTCTACTTCAACAGTTAAATGCTGCTCTAGCCCATCACGGCAACTTTGGAATTCTTATGTTGGCTTCTCTAAGTGAAGGGTCAGACTTGTCTGTTTTACATAAGATGGGAAGCATCTTAGACTTTTGATTGTCTCCTGTATTGCTGTATTCTTTTGAGTGCACCAGTTTCTGGGTCTGTTTCATAGAATCCCAGACTGGTTTGGGTTATAAGGGACCTTAAAGCTCATCCAGTTCCAGCCCCCTGTCACGGGCAGGGACACCTTCCACTAGAGCAGATAGCTTGAAGACCCATCCAACCTTGCAGTTTATCTTGTATACTAAGATAACTTTAAAATCAAACTAGGATCTCTTTGAAGTTTTTTTAGTTGGAAAGGAAAAAATTCATCCTCAGTGCCTGGAGTGGGAGTCTAGCATTTGTCAAAACCTAATGAGTTCAAGACCTATCGGAGGGATACATTTGGTCTCCCTGAGCAGTTCACTGGACAGACACGTGTCTCCATGTCATGTTTTCCAGTCTGATCCTGCGTACCTCTGTTGTACACAATGGAAATTTTGTCAAGTTCTTTTCACTCTAGTGCTATTCTTTAGGGGATTTTTGAATGGGAAGTTTAAAGACAGTAAAAAGGAAGAGATTTTTTACTTTTGGTAACTTGCCAAATACATTGCTTGTGTCTTGCCTTTTTTTAAATAACCTGTAGCAGTCTTATTCGCAGAAAGACTATATATTGTTTTTTTAACAGGTTGCCATTTCCTGCTTATTTTTCCCCTTAATGGGAGCTTGCAGATGTGTGTGATTACAAAGGCAAATGACGTTGTGCTCTAATTGTTTTCTTCTCCCATTTTCTTTAGGCCACTGAGGAGGTCTCAAAAAACCTTGTTGCCATGAAAGAGATCTTGTATGGCACAAATGAAAAAGAACCACAGACAGAAGCTGTGGCGCAGCTAGCTCAAGAGCTCTACAACAGTGGTCTTCTTAGTACCCTAGTAGCCGACTTGCAACTAATTGATTTTGAGGTAAGAAAAGAAGTTTGGCACTTCTAATATTGTATATGTTAAAATAAACATGTCTGAATTCCTGCCACTTCAGTTGGTTAAGACATCTTTCGATCTTCAGCCTTTTTTCATGCCTGGGACAAAACCATTAGAAAGAGAACTCCCTGTTCCAAACTACCTGGAAAATTAAACAAATACAGGACATGAAATCTCTGAATTTAGGCACATAAACAGCACAATATTGAAGTAGATAAACTTCTAATCCTGATAATACAGTCCTGTTAAAATTATGGAATAATTCTTAATTGTTGTGTACACAGAAGGGTTAATCTCTTAGGGGTAATACCATAGTGTAACACGAGCTATAACACTACAGGGCATGTCTATATTCTCATCTGGTTAAATTAAATTACTTGGTAAAGAGAATTATTGTAACATTTATGGAGAATTTTAAATATCTAAGCTAAAGCTGCTAATTTTGTCAACAGTATTTCTCCCTCTCGTTAGAAACAAGTGGTGCAACCTTTTTTCTGGTTTCCTCATCTTTTTTCTCTGAAAAAACCCCACCAGACCCAAGTTTTTATTGATTACTTCAAAATAGCAACACTTACTTATATTCAAACGTATCTCTATACAAACCTTTAGCTGGCTTTTGTCACCACATCACATGGAATAATTTAGCCTCCCAGTGCCACAGTGAAAAATCACCCTATTTATTTATAAGAAATGCCAGTACAATTGGATTTTCCTGTTTTCCCTGAGGTCCCACAAGAAGCATGTGGTTGTCTAGGAAAGGAGCCAAACCCCATGCATCTCCACAGCCTCGACCATAAAGATCATCCCACTTAAGGTTGCTTAAAAATGGGATTGTTCATAAACAAGTTGTTCACGATGCAAACACAACAGTTTAAAGTCCTATTGTAGTATGACATTCCAAAAACAATTGGCTTTCTTCCCTTATATTTCTTCTCTCCCTTCCACCCCACCCATAACTCCCTCTGATTTGTGTTTAATACAGTGGTATTTTTTCCCTACCCACACAACTGTTTATACCAAACATAAAACATTCAGGTTGTTAAATAAGCAAGGAGACCTGGGAAAGCTGAGAGGGGATGCTGAAATGTGATGGCCTTTAATTGCTGAAGAAAGGAAGTCATGAAACGTCATCTGGATTCTGCTGACCTCTAGATTCTTATCAGCTTGGTGTTTACTCAGCCTGGTTATTAGTGAAGGAAACCTTCGTTAACTCCTGATAATGAAGAATGCTAACAATTCCTACAGGCTTGCTCTCATTAAGGAGAACTTTTCATTTTATTCTAAAGGGACTTAAAAAGATTGTGAATAGTTTCCTACTTGTGGACTTTCTGCTGCTCTGTTAGATGAAGATATGATGGTTCTCCCTTGAGAACAAGTCATTCAGGCTGCTTTCTAGGCCCGATCACTTCTGCTCTTTAAGGATGGGACCTGGCAGATTGTCCAGCTATTGTTGTTACCTAGAATTAATGTCAACACACCTGTGCTCCAAAGTCCATCAGATGTTGGCTTTCATATCTCAAATCTGTATGGTTGTGGGCTTACTGCATTTGAAATGATTTCTTCAGTAAGGGTGGAGGTATGAACTGGATTTTCTGTTGGTTCTTCAAGTTTAAGACTTAATCTTCAAGTTTAAGATTAAGTATGTCCCTTTTTTAAGTCAAGAACTTGACTCTCATTCCTGAAGGTTTCCTTTGTTGAACAGGGATAGACAGCTAAACAACAGACAGGAACTGTTCACTCTGACTCTGTATCAAATGTATTTGAACCTGAATAGTATGGTTAAAAAACCCTCAAAAAACCTAAAACACCACCCCACCTCCCCACCCCCGAAAAATAACAAATTTAATGTTTTAATGTTATAATTAAGAAACTGACCATCCAGACCTTGCTGTATGTAAAGACCTATTTAACATGATATCCTCATCTGGAAGCTGGCTTTCCAAGCATAGCAGTCAACACAACCATCTACTTAGCAGTCTTACAAACTTAGCAGTTTTCTCCCTTCCGATTTGCACTAGTATGTCTGTAGAAGAGGTGGTATCCCTTGGGGAAATGGTGGTTTTGTTCTTTTTTATTTTTACTTCTTTTTTTTAAATGAAGGAAAAAAAAGCCCAAAACAAAGAGGGACTGAATCCTTCTGCTCAGAAGACAATACTAGCACAGTCTCCCTCTCACCTCTCGCAGTCGTGACTATTGGCACAGGGCTCAGTGCCTGTTTGCCCTTGTTAGGCCACGAGATCACTTAGTAATACATCCTTCTAACAATAACTAGCTTTGGTATTACTGTGTACCACTATCAGCTCAATTCTGTGCATAATAAGGAAATGCTGTTCTTGCTGGTGAAGCCAAAGCAAATTGTGAGATCCAGTGCAAAATTGGCAGTGTTAGTGAATGAGAGTTGATGACTATATTATGTGGAGTTTGAGTAAAGCAATTTCTGGAAACACTGCTCTACTCATTTCAGAACAAAGAGTTCTGGTGTTGCTTTGGGCTGGCTTTCAATGGAATTGTAATTGAGAAAACAAACATTTACAAACAAACTCTTATGTCCTGAAAACAACACTCTAACAAAACTGCCCATGGTAATTCACAAACATGTCATTTGTAAAACTACACCCTACACTTTTATAAACGTTTGATTTTTTTTTTCTTGATGCTGATTACAAAACTGAAATAATTTTGAATAATAACAACAATAACATCAGCAATAACAATAATAACAGCAATAACAATTGCTGTTGTTTGTTAAATTCTTGCTAATTAAATAAGCCCTGTCACAAGCTTGCTGATATTACCCAGAGCGTTTATACTAGTTAGATTGTCAAGAAACATTATCTACATTTGGGTTTTGTGTGTAACATTCAGGGAGCCTTCACATGGAGTTGCTAAACAGGTCTTTATTTGCAAGTCCAGGCTTAGTACACGTATGCCTTGTTTTTTTTCTGGTTTAGATCTGATAACAGAGCCCTGAAGTTATCTTTATGGCAGCTCAGAATGGGAAGTTAATTGCAGAAATCTGGCTTTTAAATGGTGCATGTTGAATGACACTGAAAAGTGCTTGTATTTATAACCAGCTTTTTGTTACATGTCTGTGCAAATTTGCCATCTTTAGCTGTGGTCTGACAGAAGAAATAAATAGGAGATGTGTATATATATTGAACAGAGAACATTCCCAGCCACTTTTATACTGTCTGGTGCTATCCTTGTACATTTTCTTTGTGTATCATCTGTGCTGAATTCCAGCATCCTGGTCTTATTTAGACTTTTGTGTACTGAAAAATGGCAGACTTGCATTTTAGGTCAGTGGATGATTTCTCCTGATGTTTTTTTTATTTATTTATTTAACTTCCATAAGCTCCAGTTTTAAGTTGGATGTTAGCACTGCCATCAGAAATGCTCTTAAGGTGGCATTGAGTGTTCCTAGACAAGGGGAGGGGATAGTGGAATAGTGAAAAAACACACTTACAGGCAAGAGCACAGTCAAAACTGGAATGTTATTACCAAGAACAAGTACAAAACAAGCCCAGGAGACTGATAAAACATCAGCTGGCTTTACTTAATGTAAATTACCTGTGATCTGGCTGTAACATGATGTAATGTTTTGAGTGCTTTGGCATATTTGAAATGGGTATAAAGAAACAGAATATTTGATCTGTTTAAGATCAGAGTACAGAGGCTGACTGAGCTCCAGAACTCACAAGGTATGAATGTGTGAGATGATGATAATGTTAATTGTAAAGTTGCCCAGTAGATTTGAATATTGTGTGTTTAACTGCTGATGTTTTTGACAGGGCAAAAAAGATGTTGCGCAAATTTTCAACAACATTCTCAGAAGGCAAATTGGTACAAGAACTCCCACAGTTGAATACATCTGCACTCAACAGAATATATTGTTCATGCTATTAAAAGGGTATGTACGCTGTGAAGCTTAAATTCATTTTTACATGAAGTAAGAAGTGTTTACGTTCATGGAGAAGCAGTGAGTTCTGAAATGGTTTTTCTTTCTTTACTAGATTTCTTTTTTTGTGTCTGTAATTCCACAAAGTAAAGGAAAATTTGAGTAATAAAACACCTAAAAATAGACTTCTGCATAAAGTATGGCTGAAAATTGAGAACTTTTAGTAACCAAAAATCTTCTTACCGGGGTATTACAGGCATTTTCCTTTCAGTGTACTGTTTGATCCTATTTAAACTATTTCCTTGTGAACTTATTCATCAAGAGCTGAAGGCTGCATTTTTCCTTTAACTGTCATTTCCAGATTGCTGTCCTGTTTCCTGGTCTTAGTTTGGTTTTAGACTTTTTATTCATAGCAATTTATAATCCTGGAGCGACACAAATACACCAACTCAGACTTGACTGGACAAAGAATGGTTTGGGGCATATGGTGCATGCCAGGCGGCTGTTTGTTCCTCTATTCTTTTATTATCTGGTGTATTGGACATTGGAGAATCATGTCATACTGAATATGTAGTTGCATACATAGAGCTGTGGGCCTCACACGTAAGAACAGATAGGTGTTTTTAACATTTTCATGTTAAAACAAGACTTAAAAAAGAAAACGTGCTTTCTCCATGTAAAAAGAATTTCTCACATTTCTAATTACATGAGTTGAGAAAAGTGCAATTCCAGTGTGTTATTTTGGGATAGAACAGTTCATCAGACATTAATAAACAATTCTAAAAATGCAGCTATTTCAAGTACAACTTCTGTAATTGTTCAAGTTATGTGTATTTAAAGCTGTGTATTTAAGCTATTTTATTGTAATATCTCTACATTTACCTCATCTTGTTCATTTGTGTAAAGCGCTGGAAAATGCATTATGCAAGAAACGTTCTGTGTGGAGAAAGCAGTTTTACATCTTGTAGTTTCACTCTTACTCTAAAGGTTTAGCACCAGAAGTGGTGTGGAATATTTGCTTCAGTTCATCCAAGTGTGTAAGATCAACACTCATCTACCAGAAAGGCTTTGTTATTTCCCCTCTCCCCTCCTCCACATTACAGCTCTGATTTTAGGGGGAAGCAAGACTTAGAGGGATGAAAGGATTATTACTTGTGGCATAACACACAAGAAAATATTGATTCAGTATTTCTTCAAAATAATTTACAAAAGAAGGCAAAGACATATGAGATGCAGAGAGATGAAACTACTTTCTCAGCATGTTCTCACTGATCTGTGACTGAATGAGGGCTGTAACATGTTTGTCCTAATTTTTAGTCTGTGTTGTCACCCTTCAGAGAGCATTATTCTGACATGGATTGTTGAAACACATTTATAAGTCAGGATGTTTGAAATGGGCCTTTAGTTAGCTTTAATGACTTACATGTGACATCTGGTATCCAACTAAGTCAATTTTATGTAAATTTAACCTATGGGGTAAGTTGCAAAAAGGTCAGGGAGATTACAAATCACTGAAAGGTTAAATGAGAAAGTATTGCAGGATTTAACATGAAAATTAATTCATAAGCAAATTTTTTTATTTTTTTTTTTAATGGGGAATATAGTTAATGCTTATAATGTATGCACAGTGATGCTTTGCTCCTGAATTCTTCTGATGAATTTGAATTGGCTTCTAATGGTATAGGATGAAGGATCCTTTAGGTAGGAGGCAGGATAAATAAGAGGCTTTGCTCCAGAACCAGGTAGGTAACAACCGACATAACTTTTCTCTAGACTAGAATAGTTTATACTGCAACATGCTGAGATGAATTCTTTGTTTGGAAAGGCAGTTTCATCTTCAGTCAGGGTCCTATTGTTAGCTCGCTTGGGGAAATGAGGAGCTAGTAGCAAGTACAAAGGTGTATTTCTATCAAATGTGTCTTAAACACACCGTTGTGAGATCCTGACAGCTGCTGTTGGTGTATGCTAAAATCAGCTGAGAAGACCCACAGTATTTGAGCAAGAAAGCCTGCTGAGGAAATGTGGCAACGATTTCTAAATGAAGCCATCGGAGATGGACATGTTCTGGAGGTCTCTCGTAAGAAGGTGCAGATCTAGAGGCAGTGAAGACTCAGGTCTTTGATACTGTTCTTAGAATATGAAGACAGTGTTTCCAGCATTCCATGTTTGAAGCCCATGATGTGTAGTGGCTGGTGATGCTGGAAAAATGGTTTAACGAAAGACAAGACATGAATTTATGTCCAGTGTCATTAGCCCTTCACGCTCATATCGTGGATAGTTTGAGGTAAATTGCTGTCATATTTAAACAAACAGCTTTTAAGACAGAAATCACTTACTGCTTTTCCAGATGTCTGCAGTCCCACCACTATGAAAACAAGAAAACTGATTTTGAGTATGAAGAAAATACTCCAATTAATCTTGTTTCTCAGTTTGTGAACGTCATTTGCATTGGCTGTAATTTGGCATTTAACTGGCAATGATTTCAGTAATGTTTCCTAGAAGTATGTAAAAGTGGAGGTTAATGTGGAAACAAGTACCTCTAACTTTTCGCTTTTTGTTTACTTGATAGCACTGAAACCTGTAATGAGCAGGGTGGTGTTGCAATGCGAACTTATGAAGGTACTTGTAAAGAATCTTCTTTTTCTCTTTTGTTGGTCTTTTGTTTAAACAGGTACGAATCTCCAGAAATTGCTCTAAATTGTGGAATAATGCTTAGAGAATGCATCAGACATGAGCCACTTGCTAAAATAATCTTGTGGTCAGAACAGTTCTACGATTTCTTCAGATACGTGGAAATGTCAACATTTGACATTGCTTCAGATGCATTTGCTACATTCAAGGTAATTTATGTACAACATTTGGATTACTATTACTTCTGTCCTTCTCCACTGCATGAACCCAGATGGCGGGTGTTGCATTCTTGGGCAAAACAAGCCTATAGAGAGGGGAAAAAAAATAGGCATGATGCAGATGGGTAAGCAGGGTACTGTTGTTCCTTATTTCTCAGAATGCAGAACATAGATTTAAATGTATATGCTGTATTCCAAATAACTTTTGCTCTAGAAAGCAAGATTTAAACTTTAGTTAAATCATGCATTAACTGAATACATGTGCACTTCCATGCGAGGGGCTTTTAAATCCGTGGCTTCAACTCATCAACTGAGCAAACTCCTTTTCATTCTGTTACAAACCTGAGTATACTTGATGCTGATGCTTTATCTGGGGAAACCTTTTGTTACCCTAAACCAAACTGTCATGGGACTATAAGCATAATATTGGTCATTATTAAATACTGAGTCATAACCTTGGTTGTGTATAGTTCTTGTGCAGAGCATAGCCTTGATCTATAAATCGCATTCTTCAGTGATAATTCCACGGGCCGTTTACCTGTGTGAATTAACATAGTACATTCCAGGCCTTTGCCAAGGGATGCCAAGATCCTTGGCAATGTCCAGGTAACTGCATTCATGTCCTGAATTTCTTCGTTTAATGAAATAGCAACATTTACTATCGGATGTCGTATGTATACTCACTGTCTAATAAGGATATATATACTCTGCGTAGATATTTTTACACATAAAAAAATACTGCTTTTGTACTGTTTTGCAGGATTTGCTTACAAGACACAAGTTGCTAAGTGCAGAATTTTTGGAACAACATTACGATAGGGTGAGCAGATACATTTTAATACTCAATTTTCTAGTGCTGTGTATCTTATTTGAAGAAATCAGTATTTTCATTCTTTATTTAGCTTTGTGTTTGGAAACTTACACACAATATAAACCAGTTGAATTTACAGTAATTTCTGCCAAGCACGTAATTAAGGATCAAGGTCTTATTGTTGAATGTAGAAAGGTATAAACCCAAAGGAAAAGTGGCAAAAATCTAGTTCTGTGAAAACTCTTACCTAATTTTTCCACTAGAGGGAACCCTTTCCTTTTGTTTGTCGTATGTCTGTATTAACCCATAACAACCAAAGAATATAGGAGAGCCACCTCCACCTGCTGTGGACTCCTGAAACTAATGAACAACATTGAGTACCAGGAATTATTATAGTTTACGAGATAAGTATGACCAGCAGGTCGAAGGAGGTCTGCCCCTTTACTCTGCTCTCGTGAGACCCCACTTGGAATACTGCATTCAGCTCTGGTGTCCCCAACATAAGAAGGACTTGGAACTGCTGGAGCAAGTCCAGAGGAGGCCATAAGGATGATCGGGGCAGGAGCACCTCCCATATGAAGACAGGCTGAGAAAGTTGGGATGTTCAGCCTGGAGAAGAGAAGCTGTGTGGAGACCTCATGGCAGCCTTCCAGTATCTGAAGGGGGATACAGGAATGGTGGAGAGGGGCTCTTCATCAGGGACTGTAGTGTTAGGACAAGGGGTCATGGGTTCAAACTTAAACAGGGGAAGTTCAGGTTAGATCTAAGGAAGAAATTCTTTACTGTGAGGATGGCGAGGCACTGGAATGGGTTGCCCAATGAATTTGTGAGTGCTCCATCCTTAGAAGTGTTCAAGGCCAGCTTGGACGGGGCTTGGAGCAACCTGGACTAGTGGAAGGTGTCCCGGCCTGTGGCAGGGGGGGGGGACAGCGGCGGGGTGT